AGACACTATTTTCATTTCGTTGTTGTTGTTGTAATTATTATTATATTGTTGTTATTGTTGTTCGTTGATGATGGTTGTGATAATGATGATCGTCATCATAGTTAACAAGATTAACAGTATAACATACTTAAAATACATTGACAGAAATGACATGAATGTTTATTGTTCTGCGTATATATGATGGCAGTATGTATGTATGCGTGTATGTATGTTTGTATGTATGTGTGTCTGTGTCTCTTTATGTGTACATGTTTGTATTCGAGATTTTTGTAAGAAAAGAAAAACACAACAGTTGCTTTTATTTGACATCATCAAAAGATGAAAAGTGACGAAATTAAAGTTTGTTAAATGTCAATTTTTTAAAAAGTTCAGATTTTAAACAAACAAATATAACAAAATATCGATCAATAAAAAATAATTATCACGAAACATGAATATTTAGTAAGGACAGTTCACAGCATATCATAATGACTAAATCAACATACAACAACAACACACGTTTAGACGACATTTTCCCCGAGATCGGGGGTTGCCGTTTGGCTACCTATGATGAAACCGAAATACCCCTCGACGCCATTCCATCATAAGTAATTTATTTGGCTAATTTTTACGCAGGATGCCCTCCCTTACGCAACCACAGTTATAAGCGGTGGGCCTAGCCTTTGATGATCCAACATCACTCACAAGGCAGTGAGGGTCAGTTTAATGTCATAACCAGGACATCAATGACTATGACTAAATCAACATACCAAACAGAAATTATTCATGCATGCATATATACAGAGTAAATCAGGAAATATCCAAAAATTATATAACCAAAATAAAAAAAACTAGAAACCAGTCAACATTTTACAAATAAATAAATAGACATTATTAAAAAGATTGTTCAAAAATGGTAACATTTGAGGCGACGACAAAAAAAATTGTAGTTTGTTTTGTTGGTGTTGTGTGGTGCTAAGAAGCGAAAACAAACACACTACAAAAAAAAATATTAAAAAGTTGCAAGAATAGTAGTCAGTCACCTACCTACAACTAAATTACTCTCAGGGCCCTAGCTTACCTGTAATGATAACTCAACTCATTTATTTTACATATTTTAACGTTTTAATTTTACTTGAAGCTTTTAATTTATGTTAATGTTAATATTTTACTTGAAACTTTTTAACTAATGTTAAGCCCTAGCCTACCTACAGTTGTTCAACTCATCTCAATCCCTAACTTACCTATGAATTAAATTAAGTCCGGTAAAGAAAATAGAAAGTTGAAGAGAAACATAACAACAGCGACACCGAATGAATGGATGTTGTGTATGTGTGTGTTGTATTTATGTGTGTGCGTGTATGTAAATGTGCGCGCGCGTACCCTCCAGAAACTTCTTCACCCACTAAGGACGAACCTCCATTGCACCGACCATTATCTGACACGCACCGAGGAAATGAATTTTACCGGATACTGAAAAACAGAATTGAGAGAAAAAGTTAATTTTTTTAAATAAAAAACAAGCCATTGAAAAAAAGTAAGAAGCAACTTATCTTACCATGAGATTACCATCATGAAACGTGCTGACTCCCACCACAACCCACCTCTGATCATTCTGTAGACAAAATTTTTTATTGGCTTAGTAGTAAATGAATGTTAAAACGAATGAACAGCCGAATAAATGATTGAGCGAATGATTGAGTGATTGAATGAATTAATTAACCAATCTATGATTCAATGAATGAATAGTATGAGTCAATTAATGGATAAATGAAAGATTGTGTGACAAAATGAATGAAAAAAATAAAAACAACGAAACTAAACCATACTTCAAAAATCGTCGTTGTTGTTTTCTTCGAGTTGTTATCGGAACGATCATCATGAGACCACCATCTGAGACGTGCTGACGCCCACCACTGCCCACCTCTCATCAGTCTGTAGACAAGTTATTTTTATTAGCTTAGTAGTAAATGAATGTTAGAATCTTAGAAGCAAAAATTATAAAATGGAAATAATGGCAAATAAATAATATTTGAAAATAATAAAGAGAGTAAAATGTAAAAAAAATTTACCGTCGTCCATTCGACAAAGGCAAAATGATGAGTGCCTTCCGTTTCCTGCGTTGTCCTCCAAAACTGGTGCCAGTCCTCCTCGAGATTGTTGTTGAAACACAGCCCGTGGAATGGAGAAAGAGAAAATTCTCATTAGAAAGCTTAGCGGTGCCTGCATCTTAAATTGCTTAATAAAAATAATTCTATCTACCTATTCAATTACCTTAACTAATCTATAATAAATTGTTAATGGTACGATAGTCGAAAGTTCCCCTTCATTCTCCCTCCTTGCACAGAGGTTCACCGACAGCCAGGGCACCGGATAGTAAACCATGCC